GCTTGCCTTGAGGAGATGTCTCTTAAGAGGCTCTTCCACAGTCAGCTTCACAGCCACACTGTTGCTCCTAATATTCATCACATGCGGGATCAAAAAATTACGTCTGCAGAAAGTTGCTCCAGAACAAAAATGTCATTCAATCATAGAGTGGTTTGGGTTGGAAGGGACCTCAGAGATCACCCAGTCCCAACCCCCCTGCCCCGGGCAGGGCCCCCTTCCCCCAGCCCAGGGGGCTCCCAGCCCCGTCCAACCTGGCCTTGAACCCTTCCAGGGAGGGGGCAGCCACAGCTGCTCTGGGCAACTTGTGCCAGCGCCTCACTGCCCTCACAGTAAAGAATTTCTTCCTTACATCTAATCGAAATCTACCCCCTTTCAGTTTAAAACTGTTGCTCCTTGTCCTCTTGCAACAGACCCTATTAAAATGTCTCTCTGCATCTTTCTTATAAGCCCCCTTTAAGTACTGAAAGGCGGCAATAAGGTCTCCCCAAGAGCTTTCCCTTCTCCAGGCTGAACCACCCCAAACCTTTCATCATGGGAAAGGTGTTTAATCCCTCTGATTATTTCTGTGGCCTCCTCTGGCCCTGCTCAAGCAGGTCAGTGTCCTTCTGATGTCAGGGGCCCCAGGCTGGCCCCAGCACTGCAGGGGGGTCTCCCCAGAGCGGAGCAGAGGGGGAGAATCCCCTCCCTGGCCCTGCTGCCCCCCCTGCTCTGGCTGCAGCCCAGAACACGGGTGGCTTTCTGGGCTGCGAGCAGACATTGCCGGGTCATGTCCAGCTTTTCATCCACCAGTACTCCCAAGTCCTTCTCTGTGGGGCTGCTCTCAATCCACTCATCCCCCAGCCTGTATTGTTACTGGGGATTGCCCTGACCCATGTGCAGGACCTTGCATTTGGCCTTGTTGATCTCCAAGAGGTTCACATGGGCCCACTTCTTAAGCTTGTCCAGGTCCCTCTGGAAGGCATGCCTTCCCTCAGGTGAGGCAACTGCACCACTCAGTTTGGTGTCATTCACTAATTTGATGAGGGTGCACTCAATCCCACTGTCTATGTCATTGGTGAAGACATGAAATAGTACTGGTCCCAGTACAAACCCTTTAGGGACACCACTCCTTACTGGTTTCCCCCTGGACATTGAGCCATTGACCATAACTCTTAACTCAACTCTTTTGTTAACCCTTTCCCTCTGCATGAAGAGCAGTCAAAGCTACTGGGGGCGGGACAGAACACGGGGAGCCCCAACATTCCTTGCCAGGCAACACTCAAACAGAATCCACAGGACATAAGTGACCATGGCACTGCCAGCTCTGCAGCACACACTGTGCGGCCCTGGGGCTCCTCCGATGGCCCAGCTACTGCAGCCATTCCTCTTCCCCAAAACCTTCTACACCAGAGGTGAGGACTAACCCTGACCCCGACAGCCCCGGGACTCGCTCTGGGGAAATTCAGAGCCCTTTCTCCGTTGCGCCTCTCCCTTCTCCTTCTCAGTCCCCTCATGCGCCCTCCTGTCCCGGCTTGGGATGTGATCACCAGTGAGTGCTCATGTCTCTCTGTCAGGATCAACCTGCCCAGTAAATATAATTTATAGATAATTCCCCAATCTCTTGGAGCCATCTCTCCCATTTCACCACCACATGGACAATCGTCCCTGCCACAAGCTCCCCACTCACCCGGCACAGAGCAGGGGGATGTCTGTGCTCAGGGCTGGCTCAGGGGGTGCCCCAGGAGATTCCTCCAGGTCCTCACCCCTGCACATCTCCCTCTCACCTCTGCAGGTCTGCAGATGGCTCCAAGCAGCAGCTGCTTCAACCCCCATGTCTCCCACTCGGAGTGGACGAGCACCAACCTGCCTCCAGCTGCCACCTTTGTCACCGGCCACAGCGTTGCTTCCCGGCCAGGTGCTGCCCTGTGGGGACCCCCGGGCTGCGGCTCCCCCCGGCCTGGGCAGAGCAATGGGCCCCCCAGAGCCAAGCTGAGCTGTCCTGCCCCACAACTGTCAGGGCAGAGCAGCGGCCTCAGCCCGTCCAGTGCTGCCACCGTCCCTCCGCAGCCACCACCACGTCGAGGGACAGTACACGCACCATGGCCTGTCCAGCAGAGCCAACCGCTGGCGGCACCCCCAGGCAGTGGCAGCCACCCAGGCAACAATATCCCCATGGTTAAGGACATCCTCCCAGGTGTTGACATCTCCCTGGCGAGTGATGTCCCCATGGATGAGGACATCCTCCCAGGTGTTGACATCTCCCTGGCGAGTGATGTCCCCATGGATGAGGACATCCTCCCAGGTGTTGATATCTCCCTGGCGAGTGATGTCCCCATGGATGAGGACATCCTCCCAGGATGTGACATCTCCCTGGCGAGTGATGTCCCCATGGATGAGGGCACCCCCCTGGGTGGTAACATCTCCCCCAGCCACTCTGCTGCCCTCCACGTCCAAGCCATCAGGGACCCCGGGGTGATTCCAGCCGGTGACGTTGTGCTGCCTGAGGTGGTGCTGCTGGAAGAGGCTATGAGGCACTTGGATTGCTCCCTGGGGGCAAGGGGGGGATCAGCCGGGACGATTCCAGCAGCGTCCCCGTGCCCGTGGACACCGGTGGCACTAGTGGCTCCATCCCCCAGCGCAGGATCAGCTCGCTGTGGCTGCCCGAGAAGATGCTCCCCAATGACTCGTGTCCCCAAGGCCTCCAAAGCCACCTTGAGCAGGGAGCACTTAACTCCCATCAGGATGAGGGCTGAGGATCCACGGCAGGACGTGGGGACAGACCTGCCACCCCCTCAGGGCAGTGTGTCCCGGCACGACACCAGCCGGGAGAAGCGAGCGGAGAAGCGAGCGGAGAAGCAAGGGGAGAAGCGAGCGGAGAAGCGAGGGGAGAAGCGGCAAAATGGCTCCCGGCCAGAAAATGGCGGCAAGCGCAAGGCCCCTGCAGCCAGTGCTGGGGCGGGGGGTGGGACTGGGCCTGTTGCGGGGAACGGGTGGGTTTGGGGAGGGGGGAGGGTGTGTTGACGATGTAGTAGCTTTGGTAGTGCGTGTTTTGTTCTCAGTTTTTCCATTAAAAGCCATTTATCCAGAACCTGTCCGTGCCTCACTGACGTCCTCCAGGCAGGTGACATCCGTAGCTCTTCCCTCGTCCTCTAATGCCGTCACTCCATCATGGAAGGCCGCTGGATTAGTCGGGCACGATTTGCCCTCGGCGAAGCCACGCTGGCTGTCTCTAAAGCGGCTGCTGAGCTGTTGTCATTCCATTTTCTAGCTCTGCAGTCACCAGTTGTGAGGCATTCATGACTCTCGGCCGCTATGAATTTACAAACTGGCAAAAATGAGCTCTCTAAAGTAGAAACATCCTTCCCAGTAAACTGCCCTGGCATTTTATCGGAATCTGTTTTAGTTTTCCTGCTCTGTGCTGAAATCCTGTAAATTCTTCACCATTGCTTCTGCCACTGTTAGTGCTACTGGTCCCCAGAAATGTTCCAGCTCCCTCTTGCCTGAAATCGCTTTTGAATTCACTCCCTGCTGTAACATCGCAAACCGATTTGCCGCACACTCTATCTCCTACAACATTTCTTAAGTAAGCACCTTACAACTGGCCTTTTTTGACATGCCAAGCTAATAGCTACTGTTTCATTTTGCATTTCTCATAGTACCAGGGAATGTGAAATACTATTTTTAATATATTGCTGCCTATCCTCACTTTCTGCATTAGTTTCACAGATTTTCAGTATACTTCTTTCACTATTTCTTTTCGTCACCAGATTTTCTGCAGAATAGCCCTCTGCCAAAGTTTGTTGCCTTACAGTGATTTTTGTCTTTGCCCTTTGCTACATAGAAGCCAGCACAAATAAGGGAAAAACTGACTATACAAGAGAGTGTGAAAATACCTTACGTCTAAATGACAAAACTAAGATCTTCATAAAGATTAATTAATAAATAAATATACCTATACACACTTCCCCCCCACCCCCCCCCCGACACATACACCTATAAACACGCCCCCGCGACGGGTCACGCGCACCTCGACACCCACACCTGCCCCTACAGACACCCATGAGGACCGGCACCCCCCGGCCTCCCGCCCCGCTCTGCCCCTCGGGCCCGCTCCCCTCACACCAGCGCCGGGGAGCGGGGGAGTGTCACTGAGGGAGGAAAGTCTCACCTCGCCGGTTCGTGGGGCGGACGCGCACCGCCACCTTCACTTTGGAGTCCCCCATCGCGCTGCTCCAACCTCCTCCCCGGCTCCTTCGTCCCTCCTCGGCTTCCGTTTACGGAGGGACAACCGGCGGGGCGGGGAGGAGGGCGGAGCGGGGCGGGAGGGGGTGTCAAACCGGGGGGAGGGGGGGGGGCGGAGGAAGGGAGGCACCGTGTGTGACCGACGTCCGGCTGGACTACAGATCCCAGCGTGCAGCGCCGCCCACCCCGCCGCTCCGGGGAGGCGGGCAGCGAGGCGCGATGCCCGCTGGGAGTTGTAGTCCTTTCCGCGCCCGTCTCCTGGCGGGACAGCATTGCATGCTGGGATATGTGGTCCGCTAGCATAGACGAGTTTCGTGAGGGGGCGAGCCCCAAATGGCGTTTGTGGGTTGTGTCGCGCTGACAGAGAAGGGGGGTCTCAGGCTCACCCCAGGTCCTGCCACACATCACCAGAGTGGCTGTGGGCCAGCCCTGTCCCACCTCAGTCTGTGCTGCCTGTGCCTCGGGCCCTTTTTGAGGGAATACTGCGATATATCGCAGCATCGCCGCTGCGACCCAAAACCTCACCTCGCCGCAAGATGTTCTCTGGGAGTCACAAAGCAAGGCGGCATTGCTCTGCTGGTCCGTGGGGTTTCTGTCCGTTAGAAATCACGTCACGCCGAGGATCACGAACCGTAACCCAACGTAAAGACCGTGGGGTTAGATGATGGCTGGGTCTGGCTTCGCAGAGCAACCTCTGATACGCCGCCGTCAACACACTTTGCAGTTTGCTTAATGAAGGCGGTTCATTAATAGAGCTCAACAGTAATAATCGGAGACAGTTGGAACAATATTACAATTTATTCCCATTAGACGGCTCGGCTGCTCAACCGCAGCTACTGATCTCAGAGACCGAGAATGAAACTATAATGCGAAGATGCAAAAAAAGAAATCTCATTTAAATGGTCATTTAAAAGCCCTTGCAGCTGCTATTTTAGATCAAAACAAAGATTCTCTCTGTGTTATTTTGAAAGGCCAGATTTCAGCAAGGACGGGGGGAAAAAAAAAAAGAAAACAAAACAGCAAACCAACAAATTCAGAATTGTAATCCTTTGGGCCTTCAACATCGAATGAGATTTTATGGCATAAATAAATAAAGAACACATTTCCAAGTGGTTTTGAGATAAGATCTTAGAAGGTAGCTCTTCTTGCCCAGAAGAATTGCACTCAATATCTATCATTTCATGCCTGCTTGACCTGAGGAATATCTTGTCAAGGCAGAGAGAAAACAAATATTAAATTGGTATTTAAGTAACACTGGGATTAAAGTCCATGTTCTTAAGAGCATCCCAAGTGAGCATGAGAGTTAAGAAGATGTCTTAGAGTTAAAAAAAAAAAAAAAAGAAAGAAAAAATAACAGCAGGTCAGATCAAACAGGGTGGCAAAAGCTTTAAACAACATTTTTTTGTGCATAGCAGCAGAAAGTAGCAGCTCCTGGGTATGCCACGCTTGCAGCTCAGCCCCACAGCCCCGTGTTGTGGTGGGGTTCTTGTTGGAAGAGGGGAGGACCTGCTGTCAGCCCGCACAGTTGGTTCTTGCACTTGTGGACTTGAGGATCCAATTACAGGATGAAACCGGGCTTTGAACTTCTTGTGGTATTTTCCAGCCGGGGCCTCAGCAAACCGCACCAACGTCTTCTGAAACCGAGTACTTTGCAATGGAGGTAAATATAATCCCCGCTTTACAGCTGGGCATGATGAGCCGCAAGTGGAGGGTGATGTTTTTTCTGTTGAGTCACCTGGAATACGATTTAAATAAGTGGGATGAAACCTGCCAGATGTGCATACTGCTGGGGATAGCAGGTGTCACCCAAATCCAGCCCTTCCTCCTGCATCTTCTCCTCTGATATTAGTTATCATTGGTCTCTCTGTTATATGTAAAATTAAATAGTAAATCTTGTGGGGAAAGGATTGCAGACCAGCTTTTCATTTGATAGAAAGAGGGGCCAGCATGTTTTAAGTGCCATATACATGGACAATAACAAGTGAAAGCATCCAATTCTTGCAAGCTTTGCTTCAGTTTTCTACTTGGGATGAAGAATTTATTTTAAAATCTGAAAACTCACCCTTTCAACCTTTCTTCCATTCTAATTGCCAAAGAGAAACCAGATTCGCACGTGATCGTTGCTACGTTCTGCAAACTTCTCTGAAGACGGAGACATCCTCGGAGGCCAAAGAACCATCCTCAGCTTCAACGTCGGGTTTTATCGGGGCTCTGGGAAGGCGATGACTTCTCATGGCTCTGCAGTCTTGCCTCTGGACATTTCCTTTATGCGAGCCCCTGCCTCCTGCAATGAATTACAGTAATGCAACTTATCTTGCACCGGGCACAAGCTACCTCAGTGTAATTACCCCACTGTGAATTCCTCGGCAAGCCCTTTCCCTGGCTCAGAGTTTCACAATCTGTGGGAAGCATCTCCCTGGAGGGGCACAGCTTGGAGGGAGGATATTGTTTCCATTCACAGCACTGGAACATGCTAATTATTCTGGGAGGAAAGGGGGGGTGGGGTGGGGGGGGTGGCAGCTTTCACTTGGGAGGGACAGGCTGGGCAAATAGTTTGTGAAACGCCAACTTAACCCCATCTTGTAGGGAATTGTCTGCAGCTCTTTTCCCCCTTCCTAGTTACTGTAATGAGGGCCTGACTTCCCAGATTAGCTCTGGCTATTTAAATGCTAATTTAATTAACAAAACATCCGGGGGGGGGGGGGGGGGGGGGGGGGAAGCATTACTTGTCCCTCCCATTCATTTATCGAATTTCTGAATGCAACACTATTTTCATCAGGTTGAGGAGCTACAGTCATTGCTACACCCACCTGGTCATAGCAGGGATTAAAGCAGTGATGTGGAGGAGAGAAAAAGAGGGCCTCCGTCTCATTTTTTTATAAGCAACTGAATTTCATTGGTTTTGTTTAGAAGTAACCAAGTCAAAACAGTTTAATGTGTCCCACATAACTGGGATGGCTGGGGTGTGTGTATCACCAGGACCCAAGGGAAGAAGATGGCTTTTGTTTTTATTTAGGTGAAGGTATGAATGGTTTGGATCTCGGATCTTCTAGATAGAACTGTATCTCAGGGCAAGCCAGAAAACATGACAGTCTTTTGGAAGTCTTCTTCCAGTCCATAACAAGTAACAAATCAATTGTATTTTAAATATTTTTTTTCATTTGTTAGACTGCGTATCAAAAGAGACGCATCAATTATGAATTTGCAGTAGACCTACTTTCTGCCCATAAATCATTCAGGTGTTGGAAAACTAAAACAGAGGATCTTACTAGTGTTTAGTTAGTTGTATGCAAACTCTTAAGGGGTCCACTTCTGCAAGAAGCTGAGCACCAACTGGGACAGTCCCAGTCAGAGACTGGGAGGCATTCAGGGCAGCCAGCAGCACTTTAGCATCTTCAGTGATCAGGTTCTCAGCACAAAAATATTTGGCGAAACAGTTTAAAAACAAGACCTGTTGCTGTTTTGCATTTTTCATAGATTGTTGTTTTGGCCAGTCCCAGGAGTAAAGAGTTTTATTCTGGTACGATAAGTTTGCCTTCAGGTTTATCTTGCTTTTCAGTCTGGAGATACAAATATATAAATGTAGTAGAAATTTATAGGTACGTAGAAGCGAAAACAGAAGATAGATTTGTTATAAATTTCTTTCAACTATAATCAAGAAAGCAAGCACCAAGGGAAATTGGTATTAAGAACAGGTCAAGAAATCTGGATAAAAGAGAAATTCAATTTATCCAAATCAGTTGTCAAAACTCTGCTTGATATCAAAATGTTGTCTGCTTTTTGTTTTTGTTGTTTGTTTGTTTTTTTTTTTTTTTTAAAAGGAATTGCTGAAATTTCTCAGCCAACACTTTGCGCAAATGTACAGGTTTGGGAGACTCACATTCATTTTAGCAAGGCACTTCTGTGCTCCATTATTTTAATAGGAACTTCCTATAATCAAAGGATTGATTGTTCCCTGGGTCATTCGTGACTCTGAATTTCACTGATCCTGGCATGAACTTTTGAAGGTATTTGAGTGTGGCCTCCTAGTCTCAGTGTGAAAAGTATTCACGGCCAAATAAATGAACTCTCGAAGTCTTCTTGCGGCACTAGATTATAACAGATTAAAACCCGAACCACACTTTTTATAGACAGCCCCCTCTTTTTAAAAGTTATTCCAGAGTTCAAAGTCCTGGTCATAAATCTCATGGCATTATAGGACATGTATTACCCAGAGGAAAGCACAAATCAATAGCCAGACCCCGATGTCTCCATAAACCCCATATGTGCCCTGTTTATAGCAGTGAAATTTCTTACACTTTGGCTGGGGTGCTTCTCCCATACAGTGGGATTTCAGTACAAATTCATACTTCTGGCAGCAACGCAAGGCCAGGCAATATTAGCAAATTTTGTGCTGGTAGGATGAGGTTCCTGATGAGTATTTTCTCATTGACTAAAATTTCTATTATTCTTATCAGCTGTTCAGTTTGCTGATACAGAGTGTTTCAGAGCAACTGGTTTTACCAGCCGTGTTACATTTTCTTTGAGAGGTTCTTTCCTCAGGTAAAGACTCCACACTGGATTTCCTTTGTTTGAAAGGAAAATAGATTTTCTGTCTTTGGAGAAAATGGAGAATCTCTGAAGAACTTGAAAAATACAAAATTAGCGGGAGAGCGTTTCTAGCAGTTGTAAGACAAGTTTGTAGTTCTATAAAGCAAAAATCCCAACACAATGGCAATTACGGGTACTCTGATGAACGCATATTTACCGAGCTGTGTAATGTTTCCCGCGTTTATCTCCTAGTACTTCTGAGATACATGAATGGTCAGGGCTGAACTGCCTTGACTTCAAAGGTTGGAATATTTTACAGCTTCATCTGCTGAATCATGTTGGTTTTGCTCCACTTCTGCAGAGGCGCCGCCTGCAAAAGCCACATTTTTTTGCTTTTCTGCCCATCCACACCTTGTCTCTTCTTCACCTTCCCTCTTCCCCAGAAGCTGTACAGCTTCAGAGCATGTCCTGGTAATCCAGACACCGACAGACACTGGCCAAGATCCTAATCCAAACCCAGATCTAAATTATCCAGCTGCATTTACACTAATAATAATAATAATAATAATAATAAAAAACCCTAATGTGTTTTGCCTATGTTTAGCAAATAACACCGCAGGCTAAATTGCCAGCTCCAGATACCCCCAGATTTAACGAGTTGGTAATTTGATGTTGAAACTTGGGAAATTTTGATAAATGGGGATGCTGCTGTCAGTGCCGGGAGCTGTAGAATTTATGGATGAAATGGGATTTTATCAGCGACGACCAAAAATTCCTTTCTGACTCTATAGGCAAGAGTGACGCCCGGTGGCTACGGAGCAAAATAAAATCAGGTCTAATTGTAATGGTCCCCTTTCCTGTCCTTCCTTATTTATTGATTTTCCCCTGCTGCTTTTAAGGAAAGAGCTGGGGACAAGCAAGGACTTCTACCCGCCCTCGCAGCATGAGCACCCATTGCCTGGTGGCACCCATTCCCCTGGACCAGCTCCTTTGGGGTGAAAGTGGGAGAGCAAAGGGGTGCTGGCAACTCTCCCATGGCTCCTAAAATGCTGCAGCCAAGCATGGAGACACAGATGTGGTCCTGGCACCCTGAATTTGGGCAGAGGATTTCCACTGATCTTGCCACAACCCTTATGTGGCCCTTCCCAGGGTTTGTCTACGCTCAGGGCTTGCGCTCGTTAGGACACGAGATGGGATTTCTTTTATCCATATTTCAGCTAAAATGGCAGCAAACTCATTAGCACGGGTTATCAGAGAGAAGTAAATACCGGGGCCTCCTTTTTGCTTTGTGCCTACTACGTAGTGCTTATCATACAGTATAGATTATGTGACAAAAAGAATGAAACAGCATTTTGACTACTACTGTCTACGTAACCCTAAACCCTAATACCTTCAGCTAAGCGGTTATTGATGGGTATTATGAATGGTTAACTACCTGAAGGAAAGTGTTCAAAAAAAAAAAAAAAGGAGTAATCTTTGCCGAAGGGCTAAAAATGTACTTTATTTGGACTTTAATTTGGACTTACTAGAAATGAAAATGGAAATGCCCAGGTAATTACCTCACTCACTGAGCTGTGGCTTTAATAAATGTCAAGTGTTGGGAGTGTACTGCTAAAAGCTGGTGTCATGGGCCTCTGCTGGAAACGTGCCCATTGAACAAACAAACCAGTTTGGCTCCTAAATCAAAGTCCCCGTGGTATTTCTGTATGGGTGAGCATTGACATTAGATGTTCCCTAAGGTACCTATCCATATCTCAATGTGTTATAAAGAGGGAACTCAACCTGAGGTCTGGGTCTGCTTACTGGGAAAATGAAGCCCAGCTCTGATACTTAGACCTTGCTTCTGTCTCTGCTTCCAGACCTCCGCTTCACTGGTGTACATGATACCTGGATTTAGGAGCTCACTGGTGCGGTTTCCAATTGAAAACATGGAGCGGGGAAGGATTGTTGAAGGGACAGATTGAGGTACTCTGGTCCTTCACTCATGGATGCCTGCAAAACTAAGAAAACACAAAAATATTTCTCTTAAAATTTGGGAATACCTCTCCCGATTGCGAATAACTGGGATGGGAAGGAGCATCGGGTTTGTGCCGGTAAGTTTTCTGAGTTTTCAGAAAGGCAAAGAACCACGTTATTACGAGTGAAGAGCATGAAGGAGAGCTTGTTGCACAGCACAAGGCCATCGCAACCAGAGAAGCAAGGAGCAGTGTGTAGCTGCCAGAAATACCAAGCCACCTCTTCCAACACCCCTCAGCTCAAAGGCCCATCTCTTTGCAGAGACATCCTCTTGCCCAGAGCTGCATTGTACAGCATACGGCCTCCCGCTTGCCTTGAGGAGATGTCTCTTAAGAGGCTCTTCCACAGTCAGCTTCACAGCCACACTGTTGCTCCTAATATTCATCACATGCGGGATCAAAAAATTACGTCTGCAGAAAGTTGCTCCAGAACAAAAATGTCATTCAATCATAGAGTGGTTTGGGTTGGAAGGGACCTCAGAGATCACCCAGTCCCAACCCCCCTGCCCCGGGCAGGGCCCCCTTCCCCCAGCCCAGGGGGCTCCCAGCCCCGTCCAACCTGGCCTTGAACCCTTCCAGGGAGGGGGCAGCCACAGCTGCTCTGGGCAACTTGTGCCAGCGCCTCACTGCCCTCACAGTAAAGAATTTCTTCCTTACATCTAATCGAAATCTACCCCCTTTCAGTTTAAAACTGTTGCTCCTTGTCCTCTTGCAACAGACCCTATTAAAATGTCTCTCTGCATCTTTCTTATAAGCCCCCTTTAAGTACTGAAAGGCGGCAATAAGGTCTCCCCAAGAGCTTTCCCTTCTCCAGGCTGAACCACCCCAAACCTTTCATCATGGGAAAGGTGTTTAATCCCTCTGATTATTTCTGTGGCCTCCTCTGGCCCTGCTCAAGCAGGTCAGTGTCCTTCTGATGTCAGGGGCCCCAGGCTGGCCCCAGCACTGCAGGGGGGTCTCCCCAGAGCGGAGCAGAGGGGGAGAATCCCCTCCCTGGCCCTGCTGCCCCCCCTGCTCTGGCTGCAGCCCAGAACACGGGTGGCTTTCTGGGCTGCGAGCAGACATTGCCGGGTCATGTCCAGCTTTTCATCCACCAGTACTCCCAAGTCCTTCTCTGTGGGGCTGCTCTCAATCCACTCATCCCCCAGCCTGTATTGTTACTGGGGATTGCCCTGACCCATGTGCAGGACCTTGCATTTGGCCTTGTTGATCTCCAAGAGGTTCACATGGGCCCACTTCTTAAGCTTGTCCAGGTCCCTCTGGAAGGCATGCCTTCCCTCAGGTGAGGCAACTGCACCACTCAGTTTGGTGTCATTCACTAATTTGATGAGGGTGCACTCAATCCCACTGTCTATGTCATTGGTGAAGACATGAAATAGTACTGGTCCCAGTACAAACCCTTTAGGGACACCACTCCTTACTGGTTTCCCCCTGGACATTGAGCCATTGACCATAACTCTTAACTCAACTCTTTTGTTAACCCTTTCCCTCTGCATGAAGAGCAGTCAAAGCTACTGGGGGCGGGACAGAACACGGGGAGCCCCAACATTCCTTGCCAGGCAACACTCAAACAGAATCCACAGGACAGAAGTGACCATGGCACTGCCAGCTCTGCAGCACACACTGTGCGGCCCTGGGGCTCCTCCGATGGCCCAGCTACTGCAGCCATTCCTCTTCCCCAAAACCTTCTACACCAGAGGTGAGGACTAACCCTGACCCCGACAGCCCCGGGACTCGCTCTGGGGAAATTCAGAGCCCTTTCTCCGTTGCGCCTCTCCCTTCTCCTTCTCAGTCCCCTCATGCGCCCTCCTGTCCCGGCTTGGGATGTGATCACCAGTGAGTGCTCATGTCTCTCTGTCAGGATCAACCTGCCCAGTAAATATAATTTATAGATAATTCCCCAATCTCTTGGAGCCATCTCTCCCATTTCACCACCACATGGACAATCGTCCCTGCCACAAGCTCCCCACTCACCCGGCACAGAGCAGGGGGATGTCTGTGCTCAGGGCTGGCTCAGGGGGTGCCCCAGGAGATTCCTCCAGGTCCTCACCCCTGCACATCTCCCTCTCACCTCTGCAGGTCTGCAGATGGCTCCAAGCAGCAGCTGCTTCAACCCCCATGTCTCCCACTCGGAGTGGACGAGCACCAACCTGCCTCCAGCTGCCACCTTTGTCACCGGCCACAGCGTTGCTTCCCGGCCAGGTGCTGCCCTGTGGGGACCCCCGGGCTGCGGCTCCCCCCGGCCTGGGCAGAGCAATGGGCCCCCCAGAGCCAAGCTGAGCTGTCCTGCCCCACAACTGTCAGGGCAGAGCAGCGGCCTCAGCCCGTCCAGTGCTGCCACCGTCCCTCCGCAGCCACCACCACGTCGAGGGACAGTACACGCACCATGGCCTGTCCAGCAGAGCCAACCGCTGGCGGCACCCCCAGGCAGTGGCAGCCACCCAGGCAACAATATCCCCATGGTTAAGGACATCCTCCCAGGTGTTGACATCTCCCTGGCGAGTGATGTCCCCATGGATGAGGACATCCTCCCAGGTGTTGACATCTCCCTGGCGAGTGATGTCCCCATGGATGAGGACATCCTCCCAGGTGTTGATATCTCCCTGGCGAGTGATGTCCCCATGGATGAGGACATCCTCCCAGGATGTGACATCTCCCTGGCGAGTGATGTCCCCATGGATGAGGGCACCCCCCTGGGTGGTAACATCTCCCCCAGCCACTCTGCTGCCCTCCACGTCCAAGCCATCAGGGACCCCGGGGTGATTCCAGCCGGTGACGTTGTGCTGCCTGAGGTGGTGCTGCTGGAAGAGGCTATGAGGCACTTGGATTGCTCCCTGGGGGCAAGGGGGGGATCAGCCGGGACGATTCCAGCAGCGTCCCCGTGCCCGTGGACACCGGTGGCACTAGTGGCTCCATCCCCCAGCGCAGGATCAGCTCGCTGTGGCTGCCCGAGAAGATGCTCCCCAATGACTCGTGTCCCCAAGGCCTCCAAAGCCACCTTGAGCAGGGAGCACTTAACTCCCATCAGGATGAGGGCTGAGGATCCACGGCAGGACGTGGGGACAGACCTGCCACCCCCTCAGGGCAGTGTGTCCCGGCACGACACCAGCCGGGAGAAGCGGAGCGGAGAAGCGAGCGGAGAAGCAAGGGGAGAAGCGAGCGGAGAAGCGAGGGGAGAAGCGGCAAAATGGCTCCCGGCCAGAAAATGGCGGCAAGCGCAAGGCCCCTGCAGCCAGTGCTGGGGCGGGGGGTGGGACTGGGCCTGTTGCGGGGAACGGGTGGGTTTGGGGAGGGGGGAGGGTGTGTTGACGATGTAGTAGCTTTGGTAGTGCGTGTTTTGTTCTCAGTTTTTCCATTAAAAGCCATTTATCCAGAACCTGTCCGTGCCTCACTGACGTCCTCCAGGCAGGTGACATCCGTAGCTCTTCCCTCGTCCTCTAATGCCGTCACTCCATCATGGAAGGCCGCTGGATTAGTCGGGCACGATTTGCCCTCGGCGAAGCCACGCTGGCTGTCTCTAAAGCGGCTGCTGAGCTGTTGTCATTCCATTTTCTAGCTCTGCAGTCACCAGTTGTGAGGCATTCATGACTCTCGGCCGCTATGAATTTACAAACTGGCAAAAATGAGCTCTCTAAAGTAGAAACATCCTTCCCAGTAAACTGCCCTGGCATTTTATCGGAATCTGTTTTAGTTTTCCTGCTCTGTGCTGAAATCCTGTAAATTCTTCACCATTGCTTCTGCCACTGTTAGTGCTACTGGTCCCCAGAAATGTTCCAGCTCCCTCTTGCCTGAAATCGCTTTTGAATTCACTCCCTGCTGTAACATCGCAAACCGATTTGCCGCACACTCTATCTCCTACAACATTTCTTAAGTAAGCACCTTACAACTGGCCTTTTTTGACATGCCAAGCTAATAGCTACTGTTTCATTTTGCATTTCTCATAGTACCAGGGAATGTGAAATACTATTTTTAATATATTGCTGCCTATCCTCACTTTCTGCATTAGTTTCACAGATTTTCAGTATACTTCTTTCACTATTTCTTTTCGTCACCAGATTTTCTGCAGAATAGCCCTCTGCCAAAGTTTGTTGCCTTACAGTGATTTTTGTCTTTGCCCTTTGCTACATAGAAGCCAGCACAAATAAGGGAAAAACTGACTATACAAGAGAGTGTGAAAATACCTTACGTCTAAATGACAAAACTAAGATCTTCATAAAGATTAATTAATAAATAAATATACCTATACACACTTCCCCCCCACCCCCCCCCCGACACATACACCTATAAACACGCCCCCGCGACGGGTCACGCGCACCTCGACACCCACACCTGCCCCTACAGACACCCATGAGGACCGGCACCCCCCGGCCTCCCGCCCCGCTCTGCCCCTCGGGCCCGCTCCCCTCACACCAGCGCCGGGGAGCGGGGGAGTGTCACTGAGGGAGGAAAGTCTCACCTCGCCGGTTCGTGGGGCGGACGCGCACCGCCACCTTCACTTTGGAGTCCCCCATCGCGCTGCTCCAACCTCCTCCCCGGCTCCTTCGTCCCTCCTCGGCTTCCGTTTACGGAGGGACAACCGGCGGGGCGGGGAGGAGGGCGGAGCGGGGCGGGAGGGGGTGTCAAACCGGGGGGAGGGGGGGGGCGGAGGAAGGGAGGCACCGTGTGTGACCGACGTCCGGCTGGACTACAGATCCCAGCGTGCAGCGCCGCCCACCCCGCCGCTCCGGGGAGGCGGGCAGCGAGGCGCGATGCCCGCTGGGAGTTGTAGTCCTTTCCGCGCCCGTCTCCTGGCGGGACAGCATTGCATGCTGGGATATGTGGTCCGCTAGCATAGACGAGTTTCGTGAGGGGGCGAGCCCCAAATGGCGTTTGTGGGTTGTGTCGCGCTGACAGAGAAGGGGGGTCTCAGGCTCACCCCAGGTCCTGCCACACATCACCAGAGTGGCTGTGGGCCAGCCCTGTCCCACCTCAGTCTGTGCTGCCTGTGCCTCGGGCCCTTTTTGAGGGAATACTGCGATACTATCGCAGCATCGCCGCTGCGACCCAAAACCTCACCTCGCCGCAAGATGTTCTCTGGGAGTCACAAAGCAAGGCGGCATTGCTCTGCTGGTCCGTGGGGTTTCTGTCCGTTAGAAATCACGTCACGCCGAGGATCACGAACCGTAACCCAACGTAAAGACCGTGGGGTTAGATGATGGCTGGGTCTGGCTTCGCAGAGCAACCTCTGATACGCCGCCGTCAACACACTTTGCAGTTTGCTTAATGAAGGCGGTTCATTAATAGAGCTCAACAGTAATAATCGGAGACAGTTGGAACAATATTACAATTTATTCCCATTAGACGGCTCGGCTGCTCAACCGCAGCTACTGATCTCAGAGACCGAGAATGAAACTATAATGCGAAGATGCAAAAAAAGAAATCTCATTTAAATGGTCATTTAAAAGCCCTTGCAGCTGCTATTTTAGATCAAAACAAAGATTCTCTCTGTGTTATTTTGAAAGGCCAGATTTCAGCAAGGACGGGGGGAAAAAAAAAAGAAAACAAAACAGCAAACCAACAAATTCAGAATTGTAATCCTTTGGGCCTTCAACATCGAATGAGATTTTATGGCATAAATAAATAAAGAACACATTTCCAAGTGGTTTTGAGATAAGATCTTAGAAGGTAGCTCTTCTTGCCCAGAAGAATTGCACTCAATATCTATCATTTCATGCCTGCTTGACCTGAGGAATATCTTGTCAAGGCAGAGAGAAAACAAATATTAAATTGGTATTTAAGTAACACTGGGATTAAAGTCCATGTTCTTAAGAGCATCCCAAGTGAGCATGAGAGTTAAGAAGATGTCTTAGAGTTAAAAAAAAAAAAAAAGAAAGAAAAAATAACAGCAGGTCAGATCAAACAGGGTGGCAAAAGCTTTAAACAACATTTTTTTGTGCATAGCAGCAGAAAGTAGCAGCTCCTGGGTATGCCACGCTTGCAGCTCAGCCCCACAGCCCCGTGTTGTGGTGGGGTTCTTGTTGGAAGAGGGGAGGACCTGCTGTCAGCCCGCACAGTTGGTTCTTGCACTTGTGGACTTGAGGATCCAATTACAGGATGAAACCGGGCTTTGAACTTCTTGTGGTATTTTCCAGCCGGGGCCTCAGCAAACCGCACCAACGTCTTCTGAAACCGAGTACTTTGCAATGGAGGTAAATATAATCCCCGCTTTACAGCTGGGCATGATGAGCCGCAAGTGGAGGGTGATGTTTTTTCTGTTGAGTCACCTGGAATACGATTTAAATAAGTGGGATGAAACCTGCCAGATGTGCATACTGCTGGGGATAGCAGGTGTCACCCAAATCCAGCCCTTCCTCCTGCATCTTCTCCTCTGATATTAGTTATCATTGGTCTCTCTGTTATATGTAAAATTAAATAGTAAATCTTGTGGGGAAAGGATTGCAGACCAGCTTTTCATTTGATAGAAAGAGGGGCCAGCATGTTTTAAGTGCCATATACATGGACAATAACAAGTGAAAGCATCCAATTCTTGCAAGCTTTGCTTCAGTTTTCTACTTGGGATGAAGAATTTATTTTAAAATCTGAAAACTCACCCTTTCAACCTTTCTTCCATTCTAATTGCCAAAGAGAAACCAGATTCGCACGTGATCGTTGCTACGTTCTGCAAACTTCTCTGAAGACGGAGACATCCTCGGAGGCCAAAGAACCATCCTCAGCTTCAACGTCGGGTTTTATCGGGGCTCTGGGAAGGCGATGACTTCTCATGGCTCTGCAGTCTTGCCTCTGGACATTTCCTTTATGCGAGCCCCTGCCTCCTGCAATGAATTACAGTAATGCAACTTATCTTGCACCGGGCACAAGCTACCTCAGTGTAATTACCCCACTGTGAATTCCTCGGCAAGCCCTTTCCCTGGCTCAGAGTTTCACAATCTGTGGGAAGCATCTCCCTGGAGGGGCACAGCTTGGAGGGAGGATATTGTTTCCATTCACAGCACTGGAACATGCTAATTATTCTGGGAGGAAAGGGGGGGTGGGGTGGGGGGGGTGGCAGCTTTCACTTGGGAGGGACAGGCTGGGCAAATAGTTTGTGAAACGCCAACTTAACCCCATCTTGTAGGGAATTGTCTGCAGCTCTTTTCCCCCTTCCTAGTTACTGTAATGAGGGCCTGACTTCCCAGATTAGCTCTGGCTATTTAAATGCTAATTTAATTAACAAAACATCCGGGGGGGGGGGGGGGGGGGGGGGGAAGCATTACTTGTCCCTCCCATTCATTTATCGAATTTCTGAATGCAACACTATTTTCATCAGGTTGAGGAGCTACAGTTATTGCTACACCCACCTGGTCATAGCAGGGATTAAAGCAGTGATGTGGAGGAGAGAAAAAGAGGGCCTCCGTCTCATTTTTTTATAAGCAACTGAATTTCATTGGTTTTGTTTAGAAGTAACCAAGTCAAAACAGTTTAATGTGTCCCACATAACTGGGATGGCTGGGGTGTGTGTATCACCAGGACCCAAGGGAAGAAGATGGCTTTTGTTTTTAGTTTAGGTGAAGGTATGAATGGTTTGGATCTCGGATCTTCTAGATAGAACTGTATCTCAGGGCAAGCCAGAAAACATGACAGTCTTTTGGAAGTCTTCTTCCAGTCCATAACAAGTAACAAATCAATTGTATTTTAAATATTTTTTTTCATTTGTTAGACTGCGTATCAAAAGAGACGCATCAATTATGAATTTGCAGTAGACCTACTTTCTGCCCATAAATCATTCAGGTGTTGGAAAACTAAAACAGAGGATCTTACTAGTGTTTAGTTAGTTGTATGCAAACTCTTAAGGGGTCCACTTCTGCAAGAAGCTGAGCACCAACTGGGACAGTCCCAGTCAGAGACTGGGAGGCATTCAGGGCAGCCAGCAGCACTTTAGCATCTTCAGTGATCAGGTTCTCAGCACAAAAATATTTTGCGAAACAGTTTAAAAACAAGACCTGTTGCTGTTTTGCATTTTTCATAGATTGTTGTTTTGGCCAGTCCCAGGAGTAAAGAGTTTTATTCTGGTACGATAAGTTTGCCTTCAGGTTTATCTTGCTTTTCAGTCTGGAGATACAAATATATAAATGTAGTAGAAATTATAGGTACGTAGAAGCGAAAACAGAAGATAGATTTGTTATAAATTTCTTTCAACTATAATCAAGAAAGCAAGCACCAAGGGAAATTGGTATTAAGAACAGGTCAAGAAATCTGGATAAAAGAGAAATTCAATTTATCCAAATCAGTTGTCAAAACTCTGCTTGATATCAAAATGTTGTCTGCTTTTTGTTTTTTGTTGTTTGTTTGTTTTTTTTTTTTTTTTTAAAAGGAATTGCTGAAATTTCTCAGCCAACACTTTGCGCAAATGTACAGGTTTGGGAGACTCACATTCATTTTAGCAAGGCACTTTCTGTGCTCCATTATTTTAATAGGAACTTCCTATAATCAAAGGATTGATTGTTCCCTGGGTCATTCGTGACTCTGAATTTCACTGATCCTGGCATGAACTTTTGAAGGTATTTGAGTGTGGCCTCCTAGTCTCAGTGTGAAAAGTATTCACGGCCAAATAAATGAACTCTCGAAGTCTTCTTGCGGCACTAGATTATAACAGATTAAAACCCGAACCACACTTTTTATAGACAGCCCCCTCTTTTTAAAAGTTATTCCAGAGTTCAAAGTCCTGGTCATAAATCTCATGGCATTATAGGACATGTATTACCCAGAGGAAAGCACAAATCAATAGCCAGACCCCGATGTCTCCATAAACCCCATATGTGCCCTGTTTATAGCAGTGAAATTTCTTACACTTTGGCTGGGGTGCTTCTCCCATACAGTGGGATTTCAGTACAAATTCATACTTCTGGCAGCAACGCAAGGCCAGGCAATATTAGCAAATTTTGTGCTGGTAGGATGAGGTTCCTGATGAGTATTTTCTCATTGACTAAAAATTTCTATTATTCTTATCAGCTGTTCAGTTTGCTGATACAGAGTGTTTCAGAGCAACTGGTTTTACCAGCCGTGTTACATTTTCTTTGAGAGGTTCTTTCCTCAGGTAAAGACTCCACACTGGATTTCCTTTGTTTGAAAGGAAAATAGATTTTCTGTCTTTGGAGAAAATGGAGAATCTCTGAAGAACTTGAAAAATACAAAATTAGCGGGAGAGCGTTTCTAGCAGTTGTAAGACAAGTTTGTAGTTCTATAAAAGCAAAAATCCCAACACAATGGCAATTACGGGTACTCTGATGAACGCATATTTACCGAGCTGTGTAATGTTTCCCGCGTTTATCTCCTAGTACTTCTGAGATACATGAATGGTCAGGGCTGAACTGCCTTGACTTCAAAGGTTGGAATATTTTACAGCTTCATCTGCTGAATCATGTTGGTTTTGCTCCACTTCTGCAGAGGCGCCGCCTGCAAAAGCCACATTTTTTTGCTTTTCTGCCCATCCACACCTTGTCTCTTCTTCACCTTCCCTCTTCCCCAGAAGCTGTACAGCTTCAGAGCATGTCCTGGTAATCCAGACACCGACAGACACTGGCCAAGATCCTAATCCAAACCCAGATCTAAATTATCCAGCTGCATTTACACTAATAATAATAATAATAATAATAAAAAAACCCT